TGGCCCGCACGGCCCTGGTCACCCGTCTGTACAGCCCCGGAGCTTCAATCGTTAGCAAGGAACTCGACGCGGAGCTCCTCGAAGCCAGTCATCGGGACGGCACGAAGCCACCCAAGCGCAAGGGCATCTATGTGGCCCTGGGCTCGGTCTACTGCAGCTTCAAGCGTGAGATCAAGCCCTTTGAGCTGTACGAGATGGAGACCAAGGTTATCGCCTGGGACCAGAAATGGATGTACGTTATGACGTTCTTTTTCCGGCCCGCGAGCCGGAAAGGCGGCGAGAAGACACTCTTCGCGACTGCGCTGAGCAAGTACGTCGTCAAGAAGGGACGGCTGACCGTGCCGCCGGAGAGGGTCCTGCGGGCCAGTGGCTTCCTCCCTCCGCGGCCGGAAGGTTCTGCCGCACCTGAGGTGACTGCCTCGACTGAGGCATCGGGTGTGGGGACACCGGTCAATGGAGAGGGTCTCACGGCCAGTGCTTCGGGGGTAGACGGGTCTTTAGTGCGGGAAGTGCTGAAGTTGCGGGAGGAGGACATGCCGGAACCGAAAACACTGGAGGCGGAAAAGAAGAGCAACGCCGAGTCGTGGGATTTGAACGAGTGGACATGGGAGCAGATTGAGCAGGAACGGCTGCGTGGGTTGAAAGTCATAGAAGGATATTCAACGATGGATGCTAAGATGTACGAAGAGTGGCAGCGTTAGCAGCTGTATGAGCTAATGGGTTTGTGTGATTTGCTCTTTCTTCTGGCTTACTAGATATTTGATCATGTTATATAGACTAGACTTGACGCCGACGAGGGCAACACAATTGGAGATGACAGTGGCTTATTTACCATGGCAACTGGCAGATGCTACACAACCACATGCACAAATCAGGCCCAGCTGCGTGATATTGCAAGAGCTGTAGATGAGGTCTGATTCTAGCGCTACATCACTCTCTATAATGGAGATATTGTCTTTCTTACCGACGAATTTTCGCCAGATAAACCTCACTCGAGAAACTCAACGATAAGGCAGACCGATCCACCGCATCCATGTCGATCCCTCCTCTACCCACAGATAGAGTGCCGCAATTTCTGAGCAGCTAGAGACCACCCGTTAATAATTCACTGAAAAGCTCTTCACTGGACGATACATACCATCGTTATCCGCGGGACCACACTGCGTATCCAAACAGTGTTGCATTCCACGCTGGTAATCCACGTTGTGGCAGGGACAGGTGAGATCAACGTTGATATTGCATTGTTTATTCTGATCGAGGCATTTTTGCTACTCATCTTCAATCAGTATAACTGCTTCTGCGGAGCATGTCGAGAACATACCAGACAGGGTGTTATGACTTGGGCAGCGACGAGTGTTACCAGCGCGGCGAGCGGAAGCATGATTGCGAGCTTCATTTTTCGTTCAGCTGAGGTATTTTGGGGAGGGAGAACTTGATTGAAAGGGAGAGGAGGAGGACCCAGCAGGTGAAGGTTTAGATTGTTCAAGTTTTCTGCCCTGCGCTGGCCATTGGAATTTATGGTAGGGTCCTGATCGTCTGGTATATACTCGCGGAAGTGCTTGTGTTGGCGTCAATATGCACATCCTGTTGTACAGGACCTTGGAAGGGAGATCGTCACCCTGCAAAGAGGGTTTTACCAAGTCGTACAGTGCCTAAATTGATACAAGAATCTCCGTTGAGGGTGTTGCTTGTGGGCCGATCTGGTGCAGGGATGATGCAGAATCGGATGCAGTGCCACATACTAGAGGATCATCATCCCGTTGTATATACAGGGCTTGATTCACTCCTGAGGAGAAGCAGAACCGAAGTCCGAAGAAGAAAGCCCCGAAGTAGAGTGAGTTCGTTGAAGTCCAGCAATCAGTCAATGCACAATCGAGGGAAGTCTCTGAATCTCTGAATATAGTAGGTAGCTGTACAGCAAGTCTCAATGAAAGGTTACTTCAAAGTGATCCCATTAGATGTATGTTCTATCATAGCCAGTAATGGGACGAGAGACCAGCTCTCCCCAATCAGCCAAACCTCCATTTAGACAATTGCTCCTCGTACTGCATGCCTGTTGTATACTTCAGTACCATGAATGCTTTGCTTCCGACTGATCAGTGACTGTGAAACCCAAGTCGACGTAGTGAGATGTATAGACGGCACGGAGTTGTATGTTCCACTACACCTTCGGTGTGACGGTCAATAGGCCGTAGTGGTCCCTAAGCTGGAGCCATGCAGTATTGTAGAATTTGATACTGTCTCCTATTTCTATACATGTCCAGTCTTCATGCAATTGCCCACGGATGGTTGACGACATGCCAAAGACTTGTTAACCCGTCGGAGTCATAATTAACTGAGAATGTAACCTCTGTTCAAACATACTTGTTGCCTTCTCTATGTCTGACTACATCCCGTGTGCGCTGCCTGTTGACTACACATCTTGCAAGTATTAGTTGTAGTAAAGCTTCCGAGTAATCAAAACGCCACATGTTCTTTCGTAAAGGCTATAGTAAAGACGGATCATAAAATTAAAGAAACACAAACAAATTAAAACCAAGTCTATCCCCATCGTCTTATGCACATCGCTAGAGCGAAACCTCTTCTCCAACCAGTCGGGCAAGCCGGCCATATTGATGAAAAGGGTCGCGTCAATTGGGGGTAGTGTAAGCCCAATGACACTGTGTGGCAAGGCATGCGCAAGCACAGAGGCCTCGCCACGGGATCCAAAAATGAGATTAATCAATGTTGTGTTCCTTAGAACACTTTCAGAGATTAAACTGAAAAGAACAGATACTACACTTGATCTAAGCCAAAAGGCAAAGAGAGCTGGAGAAGAAAAGAAAAAAAAGTCTAAAGAGACGGGGGTGGAAGGAGTATTTATATTGGAGGTGTGGTGGCCCGTGCGACGCTAGCGGCGTTGGCTCGCTTATTCTTTCGTGCCTCAGGTTGACGGGTAGATATGGTTTGCCTCAGGTACTCTGTATCCTATTGTTGTTTGACTGTCTATGAACATCTTGCAGTCTAGTTTATCCTCTGTATGCTTCGCCTTTGGGTAAATCAACATAGCCGTACAGGTTCATTGTAGCTGCGTCCTGCTGCATCTTCTGACCCCATTCACCTAGGTGCTTCATGAACATCTCCACGTTCTTCTCATCGCTCAAGTCGATCGGCTGCTCGTCCTTGCCCACTTGCTTCATCTGCGTCCCCGCCGCAACGCTGGTGACTCCGAAATCCTGCTGGTCAATCTTCGGTTCGATCGCTCCGGTCACCTTGCCTTCCAGAATATCGCGTGGCAAACGAACTTCCTGGCACGCAGGTCGAGCGATTCCAACGCCATCCACCGTCTCCAAGGCGCCCACCATACCGGACGCCGTACGCAAGCCACCGGTCACGTAACTCTTCGTCTTGCTCAGAACCGGCGTGATTAGGGATGCAAATTCCAAAAAGAACGACTCCCGCTGCTTGGTGGACTCCCTCTTGTGGCTGAACGCAAGAGACTCATACGTGCCTCCCGACAACTCAACAAAATCAAACTCATTCTCCTCCAAAATCCGGCACAGATCGCGCGCTTCTTCCGCGCTGAAACCTCCGGCTTGGAACTCGACTGAGTTGATCTTGATGCCTAAGATGAAACCAGTCGATGCAGGTACCTCCTTCCGAATAGACTGGGCGATCTCCACAATCAGCCGCGCGCGGTTCTCCAGACTCCCGCCATACTCATCGGTGCGGCGATTCGTCGTCTGCGACAAGAACTGTGCGAGGAGGTACCCATGTGCGGCGTGCAACTGGATACCATCATAGCCAGCCTTGTGCAGGTACACGGCGGCATGCGTCCACCGCCGAATGAAGTCCTGGATCTCATCCTTGGACGCAGCGTGCGGCTTCGCGAACCGCATCCCCATGATCTCCTTCTCGAGCTGAACATCGCTGGCGGAGACCGGGGTGGGCTGGAGCCGTTCTTCCGTTTGCCGGCCCGGATGGCTGACCTGGCCGATGACCAGGCTGCCGTGTTTCTTGGCCTGCGAGGCCAGCTCGCGGAAGGCGTCGAAGCGTTCCCCGTGGAAAGGATTCTCCAGATCGATGATGGGGTTGCCAGGGGCTTCCAGCTGGTCGTAAGCGAGCATGATGTTGCCAGTAGAGATGAGTCCGTAACCGCCTTCACCCCATCGCTTGTAGAGATTGATCAACTCCCGGCTGGGGACACCCCGTGCTTTGAAATCGGTGGGTGACCAGGAGGACATGCGCTCGGTCATGGCGGCTTTGTAGAACCGGGTGGGCGCCGTGCGCTTGCTAAAGGCGAACTGTAATGGCTGGCCCAGCGGGGAGATATCGACGGGAGCTGACTTGTATCTAGAAGGCATCTTGGTCTATTCGCAGTAGAGAGATTGTAGGGCTATAGAGTTAAGATGAGTTGACCAAGTGTGGTACTGTATTTGCGGAATATCTACGCAGAGGGGCTGTCCTACAAGTCTTCCTACTATATATAAATCGCGATCAGAGCCAAAGCTATATTTCGCCCGAAAATCTACTTCAAAATTCGCTCGGCATTTGCATCCTTTGGCAGTTGATCCCGGGGACTGCTTGATTAACATCATAGATGACATCACAGATTCTGCAGGATACGATCAAGATGAACAATCGTCTCCAGAACTTTCCTTGCTCCAGGAGTCCCTCTTATCAATCATTACAAATCAAACAATTATTAATTGTCTTCAGATTTCATCATTGTGGCACTTGTTGTACACCGATGTGACCGGTGGTTTGAGTACGGAGTGCAGGGTACATAGAAGTTGGGCACCACTGCGGCGAGGAGCCGAGGTTTGCCGTCCACAATCTCCCTTCAACTCCCAATTCGTTCAGTAAGTTTGAATATATCCTCGCATCAAGAGGTCTTAATCAGTGAGAATAATTGCTTTGCTGATCAAAGTAGATACAAGTCCTTGTCGACTGGTTGTCGCCTGGACCTTTTCATTATCATTTGCGCTTTGCGTTCAGCCCACATTTCAATCTGGGACTCATCAGCATTCTGTACCCACAATGTGGGACAACGGATTCCTACGTTGGCGAACTTGGACGATAGCCATGCAACGACTGTCAAAAGTAACAATACCCCGCCAACGAGCGGGTACCATCTCCAGGACGGATCGTCTTTCAGTAGATCCACGTTCATTCCGAACAGGCTCTGCAAGGATTAGACAGTTACAGCGGAGCGATGTCTGATAACTTACGGATGCGAACGTAAGCGGGAGAAAGACGAACTATCACCAGTCAATAAATAAAACACAGAAGGGCCGGTAGATTAGCCACACGTACAGTAATCCAGCTGATCCGCTTCAGGCTCGTTGCCAGGCTGGTTGACCGATGTGCTTCGTTGATAGAGACCCAAGCAAATTCCTACCCAGAGCAAGACGTTAGTTAGTTCAGATGCTGGACGTCATAGACTGATGTGACTTGCTATCTGTAATATATCTCGCATCGTCTGTTCCAGTTTATCTATCTGGCCTTGGATGTCTCGCTCCATGGCATTGATGGTCTCATGCATCCGCTCACTGAACCGACGAGTTTCGCTGTAACGTTGATATTGCGAGACAAAGTGACGCGCCTGGCTGAGCTGTTCCTCCAGCGTCCCTTGAATCCGGGTCCACTGCTGCATATTCTCGGCTACTGCATCAATTAAGAGGTCATCTTTGCCCCGAGCGTTCAGTTGATGGGAGCGCTAGCTTGTCAGCGTCGTTCTTTGAGAGAGAACGGCCCATCGAGTGAAGAATACAACGAAGATACATACAAGGCGGCTCAGAACACTTCTGGCATCTCGGCAGAAATTCATCCAGTCTTCTCTCCATGTCTGCATGAATAACTGAATGAACTCCAAGTCATTCTTGGGAACCCAACCGAACGGGAGATTACTGAAGTAATGTATCGCTTTCGGAGGGACTTCGAGGACCGCCCATTCAATTGTTCGGAAGGTACCATTCTCATAGCTGCGGTATTTGCCCTCATCGTGACTGCCAGGAATTGTATGAGACATTGTCAAATTCATTTGAATGGACAAGGTAAATGTCCTGCAGGGGCTTTTGTTCCCCAAAGAGAACCTCAGCTCGTTTGGCGAATGGCTTATCTGCAGGTAAGTTTTCCACAGATGATTCTCCCGAAAGAGTCTGTCAGGTCAGAACCGTAAAAGAAAGATATCCAAGCGATCAAACGTACATCAGATGAGTTTCGTCTGACGTCTTTGGCATATTTCTGATATGCGTGTCCAATGCACCGTCAATAAGCCACTGCGCTGTCTTAATCCCATCACGGACGACCGCAATGTCAACAGCCACTGCAGTGACCTCCTTGCTGCGCTGTCCGAGATCGCTGTTATCGTCGTCTTCTTCTTCTCTAATCCTGAGGAGCTTTTCACGTCGGTCCAATAACGCCGCCACTGCCGCACGGTCGCCCTCCTGTATGGCCATCTTCATCAACGGAATCGAATTGTGGCCGTGTCCCGTGCGCACATCATTCAGGAAAACCAAGTCTGTCGAGGACTTGACGGTGCTGCAAGGACCGAACCAGTCCGTGTTCTCGAGACCCTGGATACTGGCTTGGTGCTCTAGGAGGACTGCTACCGTTGCCCGATCGGCCTGCTGCAGCGCTATCCTCATCAGAGGAATAGAGTTGTATTCGTCCTCATTTTCCAGGCTCGGCTTGTATCTCTCAAGAAAGGGCTTGAGAAGACGAGACCGACCTTCCTGGATCATAATGCGCAGGGAGACAATGTCCCTTTTTAAGGTTGTTCCCGCCTCAACCCCAGAGGTGAGCATGTCTGCAATCTCGTAGTGGTTCCATTCTAGCGCGTAGATCAGGGGTGTCTTCCTATACCGGTCGATGGAGTTAGGGTCAGCCCAGACGGTCTGCAGTAGATGCGTAACGAGTTCTTGATCGCCTTTCTCGCAGGCCCAGGAGAGGAATGTTCTCCGAGCTTTCGTCATAGGCTCGACGCCCTGCCTGGGCCCCAGTAAAGTGAGCCATTTTTGAAGATAGTCCCTTTTCCCGGACTGATACTGCTGCTCCATCGCTGCTCGTTTGACCGTGTTACTGATAAACCACCACAAAGGTAACTGTCCCTCTCTGTCGTGGATGTCCACGCCAGCGCCATGATTCACCAGAATGCTTGCTGTCTCTAAATGCCAATTCTCCGCAGCCCACGATAGTGGCGTCCGACCTCGCGCGTCCTTATAGTCCGCTTCAGCTTTGCCCTTCGTCAACAAGACCTCCACCACACGAGAATAACCTCGCTCCGCCGCCCTAGACAATGGCGTGCGGCCTCGCGAGTCTGGCAGGTCGCATTCGACATTTTTTTGCAGGAGCAAGGCGACCATGCGGTAGTCGCCCGCTTTGGCAGCCCAATGAAGCGGGGTTTCACCATGGTAATCTGCAAGATCGGGGCTAGCCCCTCGGTCGAGGAGGAACTGCAACACAAGGCTGCGACTGTTGTATGTCTCCGGTGATTGGGTTAGATCGTATGAAGCCGCCCAGGAGAAGGCGGTTCGGCCCGTACTGTCTCTGATGTCGGGGGATACGCCATAAAGAAGCAATTTGAGCTGGAGAAGGTCACCGCGTTGCGCAGCGTGCATCAGCTGGTGGATCTGCTCATCCTCAAGGGGGAGAGATGATGTCGCTACCACCATTGTTCCTCATATTCGCTCGACTAAGTTCTGTGAGAAAATAAGAATTCGGAAAAATAAGCTCTTTGGTTCCCATCTTATTTCTGTGACAGAAACGGGGTTGAAGGGTCCTGCTGCAGTAGGCTCAGCCTCCATATTTGCAGCGTGGCTTATTGGTCACACAGATGGCACTTATGCACGAGATTTGCTGCTAGTTCCGTAGCTACAACGCTGTAGAATAGTACATCGGCTCCGATAGACTTGCATGAAGTTCAAGCTTCATTCTTCATAATGAATATCATCAAGTAGGGAGAGATGTGGAGTCTGATTGAGTTATGCTTGCGATGGAGCAGTAGGATGTATGAGTAGGCACATGGATACAATAATAACCAAGGAGTGCCCAAAGCAAATGAGGGTCATGTCATGTGACTCTCTACAACAATCTGCTGAATTGCCCTTTTGTGTGGTTAGCTGAAAGGTTCACAAGTAGCAATATATATGGGTCGAGCCTGGGTGTCTCAGCAGCTGTATAGATTTTTGTATGGTTATTGATGAGGCTATATAAGTATCAAAGGAAACAGAAGTCCTTTAGAAGTAGGTATACTTATCTACTTATCCAGTACTTTATAAATATGGAAAGTGCAACATAAATCTGTTATTCACAATCGTGATATTTCAATCCTGGTCACGGGACTATGTTGGGAAGGATACCTCTTTCAACCCACGTCATCAAGAATCAAACATCAGCATTTTCAAAATGGCTTCCATAGTAAGTATATTTCGCGTCCTAGGACCTCAAAAGCTGTCTAATAGAAACTTCAAATTACCGTACCAGAAGACCTAGTCCCCGAAGGTTGGACCATCGAAAAAAGTCAGGTCAACGACGAGTATACCTGGGGTAATCCCAATGCCGCCGGTTATCAAATGGCGAGGGCTTTCGGCCTGAAGAATCCGCAGCCGATAATGTGCCGCACACCGGATACGGGGGAACCGGGATACCTCTTTGAATCAGAAGGCAAATATTACTTTTGGGAGGGGCTGGAATGCGGAATATTTGAGGTTGTTAAACCGAAGGGTTTGCATGAAATACTCGCAGTGATGAAGCAAAAGGGGGAGAAAGCGTTGAAATACCGGGAGCTGGACCAGATGCACCCTTATGAGTAATTCCTTCTTGTACCTTTCAATCGAAATGATTCAGAATCTGTTGCTGCAATAAAGCCTTTGCTACGTACGTTCTGATAGTACTCGATTATGTGGGAGGGGCTATATATCAGGCGCTCTAAAACTTTAGCGCAGCGCCGTTCCACGGATAGAAGCGAGGTACTTAACCTAATATGGTAGCCATAAATTTTTACTTCTGGTGATTGAACAGCTCCACCAGTAGGAGTATGTGGTCGAGAATACGTGCTATATTTAAGATTGCAGTTCCTATAGAGTAAAGGAGTGACATAGACAACATCACAAGCTAATGCTCTATGATATTGTACCTCTGGATGACGAAAAAGGCTATCCATCACCCCACCGTTGGTTGTCCCTTTCAAGTAATTATTACTTCGACTCACGCCGTTTCATGTACCGCCGCCACTGCCCGCTGTTAGCAAGATATGCCTATTAAGGCTTAGGAAAGAGCGACAACTTACGGCAGGGTTGAGCAGATAGACCGGAACACCAAGCAAGAAAATGCCACCGGTAACTCCAGCCAGAATTCCCATTGCGGCAGCGTAGCTGTACTCCTGGACCATAGGGATCAATCCGTAACTGATACTGAACGCGATGATGTTCTTCGTTCCCACGACCGCGACGAGAGCTGGACCTGGATTCTTCTCCCATGCTTCAGCAGCGAACGAAGTGGATAGGATTAGCACAGAGACAAATGCGACCTGGAAGAGAGTCCATCCCATGAAGGGGCCTCCCCAAGTGGCCGTGCCGTCCGCAGTGAAGCCATAAAGTATCAGTGCTACCACAGCGAGAATGCCTGGGAAGATAAGGAGTAGCAGTCGATGCTCAGGGGTATGGATGCCTCCGGATCGCTTGGCCATCCATACAATAAACCAGTCGCCAAAGAAGCCTGCATAAAGCATGCCGCCAAAGCCGCCAAAAACCCCTCCCAAGTTGATCAAGCCGATGTTCTTGGCTGGCCAGCCATAACTCTGCAGAACCGTGTCATATGTTAGAGAAATCCCGATGGAGGAACCTACACCACAGATGACAGGAGGGTGGCGTAAAGAATGCCAGGAGAACTGAAAACCTCGAACATATGAAACCAGGACTTCAACACTGTCCGAGCCGGGTTGGGGGCTGAGCGAGAAATAGGAGCGAGCATCTGCAAATAAGTCTTCTTGGGGCGAGACTCCTCTGCGACATCCTCGCTCTCATTCGTACTATTAGCGGCAAGGTATGTTTCTGCTTCTTCCCCGCTGAGCACCTGGGTCACTCCGAATTGATCTGTCACCACGACGCGGCCGTTGACAAATTGGGCTTGGCGTTGGTATCTGGTCTCAAAGCAGCCAAAGATCACGATGAGCATTCCGACTGCAACAGCAATCACGTAAACCCAGTAGAACCAGCGCCAACCCAATGCGGCAGCCTCATATGAGCTTGCCAAATTGAGGCAGCTAGTTATGGTATTCTGTGTAGCCCAATAGAGACCATACACCAGGCCACGTTGGTGAACAAATGTCACTTCGGCCAGCATGAGTGGAAGAAGCTGATTCCAAAACCACGGTGAGTATATGGGCGGATTAGATGAGACCATAAGCATAACGAACCGATTCTGTTGCACCAGAGGCAAGGCCCTGTAAGATACGTAAACCCAAATGCTGCTCCCAGCTCTGAGACAAAGCACAACCGATGGTTGCCCCTAGAAGTACGACGATCGAGATGATGGCGGCAGGACGACGTCCATACACTAAACCAAGAGGCAAGACGATGTAATTTCCTGCCAATGGCACCCATGATTAGTTTTCAAGAAGATGCTTAACAGTTTCAGGAAAAGGTCACTCACCGACTCCGACGAAGAGCGATGGAAATGTCGAAAGCCAGACAACCTCATTGGAACTGTGTCCCTGTGGAATATAGAGCTCAAAGAAAACGCCGAGGATGGCACCCAATCCTCCGACTACCGACAGGGACATGATGGCTACATTCGTGATATGTCAGCAAGTGAGTGTAAGGACGAAAAGTGTACAGCAGACAAAGGGGGCTCACAGAACCAGCAACAGCTGACAATAACACCCAATTTTTCCCAGTAGGTAAAGTTCAAAGGATCATTGGGATCCTTGCTAGGAATAGGAAGCCGCTGGATTTCACCAAAGGTGTCAACCAGCACAATGCCAGCGTCAGGAGGCTGAGACTCGACCTCCTCCGCAAATTCGAACTTAGCTTTTTCCTCCATAGGCGCAGGTACAGACGAGGAGTGCGCCTGGTGCGATTTCTAAAAGGTCATATCCACGGGGTAGACGAACGCGCAGCTATATAGCTACATCAAGGACCTAAGTGACCTTTCCGATAAACGGCACCGTTGCTCTGTGCTTGCAAACGTGCGGAGGAGACGAGCTGCGTGGAGACTTGTTGAGTACTTGAGTTTACAGAAAACGCCCGCCCACAATCCGGTCGCTGAATTTCCCGGGTCTTTCTCGGTAACCCCGTGGGGAAGTGCTTCAGAGTTCAGGGTTCTCCACATTCCGAAAGTCCTGGCGTCGGCCATTCGAAAAAAGCGAGCAAGCCCGATCAAGTGACAGGAAAGAAGATCTAGATTTAACAGCCAATATGTGAAAATGTTTTTCAAATAGTTGTCACGCGACAAGCTGGACCCGCAAGCAAGCGACTCAGAACGTAGAATGATCAATCAAGAGGAGGAGGGGGTCTATGAAAGATTTCCAAGATCCCGAATGAGGTCACAGATATTGCTAATGAGTGGGGGAAGTTTGTGCTCTGGCGATGGGTTGGGACAGTTGCTTTTCAACACTTGAAGCGCAACTGCCATTATGGAACGGGGCTTGCTGATACTGCAAAAGCTCTTCTGTCCTGCAGGGACGATGCTGCCAGCAGGAGTAAAGATAGCAAGCCCAGGCTGCCCATAGTTGCCGGATATAAATGCTTTCGTGGATTGATCTTCGGAGCCATGATAGACGTTTGGTGTCATGTTCCCTTCGCTCATAGGAGTATCGGCGTCTACAGGCTGCTTTTGGCCATACTGCAGCAACCCGTACACCCAAAGGGTAACGGTAGCATGATAAACGGCCAAAGTATCGAATCCACGTAATTGGAAATGAGGAACTTGGCGAGCTGCGCGGAAGACTTGACCAGCATGCCAGATGGCTGTACGGGCTTCCTTTGTGTGGCTCCAGGCTTGAAGTCCAGGATATGCGCGTCTTGCCTCCACTTCCCCGTATTTCCCCACAAACCTCTGAATAGAATCGACATCTGTATGCAGATACATCATGACAAATTCGTGAAACAAAGTTGCCACTGCTGTCCGGCTGCTGGCGTCGGCTTGCACATTTCGAAGCATGGAGTAGCTGAGGGGAATGAGAAAAGATTTCGAATCCAGACGGAGCCAGCTACTTACATGTCATCTTGACGACTTTGAAGCCACAGGTGAGCCATACACGTGGTTCGGAGCGACAGCTACGAGCTAGCAGAACCTGCTGTCGAAAATCCCAGGTTTGACCTGCCAGTCCGTGCAGGATGGCAGAATGCGCGATCCCTACATCCAATCCCAGGGGCAGCTGATTGAAAAGCGACGGATCTGACAGAAGGTCTCGAAGACTCAACTCGGGCAAACTAAGATGGCGATATCGCGTTACCCAAATGTCTTTCCAGGCTTTCGCATTCGGTGCAAGCCAAAGATCTCGAGACGCAGGGAGCGGAAGAGTCAACTCAGAATATGATATTATTGCCGGGCGGTTCATAGCGGTAGCCACCTCGATGTCGTGCTCGAAGAGATGATACACAAGCCTATCCAGCAAAGTCTTAGTCGGTACGCTCAAGAAGTGCATTTCTAGAACATCCACCTTTTCAGAGACTCCTGCTTGGCGCATTCCTGCCATGTCTTCTCAAGTAATTCTTCTTCTTCTGGGACAGAGGGGGACGTGATAAGGGCATAAGTAGAGCGGTCAAACGCCCCAGCTCGTCGCAGTGCCTGTCATCAATTTAGACGGACCGTCTCTCGGACGTTATCGCCAGACATACCGTGCAAAGTGGCTGTAGATGACTCTCTGCAATTTGCATTTTCCTCTTATATCCGCAAAAAGTGCCAATATCAAGCCAGATCATCGAAGCTTGCAGATATTGAAGATCCCGGAGGACACTGTTGTCCGATTCTACCTATCGATGGTGTCAGCCCAATCAGCCTTGAAGAGGCGCAAGAAGAGCGACAATCTCACCAGCTGCGAAAGCGCTACGCGGACAATTTCCTGCAGGACAAGACCTGTCTTGCTGATAGATAGTATGCCACAGCAGACGCAGCCAGCAGCTACAAGAGCAGTGAGTAACTCCGGCCTGCTTTCCGGATGATAGAAGGTATATGGATGGATCCATGCACCAGTCTCAGTGCGCTTGGCTATTCCAATCTTGATGAGAAGGTCCAAGTGCTCTGCAGTTGGAAAGGAAGAGACCGAGAGACGCGGGTTACCCGTTCGTACAACGAGCTGGAAAATCTCATCTCTAGCGTGTGACGAGAGCCTGCAAGGCATCTACCGGCACATTGTGGGAAGACATGATTGCCTCGGCCATATCACCATCCCTTAGTGGTAGACGGCCCTCGTCACTAAAAGCATTCTGGTCCTTTTCGGGAACCCAAAGCCTGTAATTTCTTTTTTAATATAGATCTCTCCGGGAAAGCGGCTGACTTACCATAATGATCTTTGAAAGACAGCTACTCGTTGCTTCGTAGTAACTGGGTTCTCGTCTACGGAGTCGCCTAGCTCTTCGTCTAGAGGGATGGGAATTCCTGAATCTAGGATACGATCTAGGTCCGGGATAAAATCGTTCCCAAACAGGTCACTCCCAGATATGCTGAAATCCGTGTCGTGCATAAAGTCAAAGACGTCGCGAGGCTGCTGTATTGCCTGTGAAGTGGTCATGACATCCGTGCTGGGGAGCATGATTTGTTCAAAGAATGCCGGGAAGCCTCTCGTGTCCTGGTAATTCGTGATCTCTTGACGCGATTTCGTTGGCAGGTAGAATGCGTGGTCTATGGCTGCAGTACTAACAGAGACGGCCGATAGACTTCCTTGATCCAAGGCCGAATTGGGTGTCCTCAAAGAGCCAATGAACTCTGGCACATCGGACTGGGTGTGCAAGCTATCCGCCGGAGAAGCCGATGAGTCTAGCGCAGAAGTCGACATTTGCCGTACGCTGTCCCGTCTCAAGTTTCTTTTAGCGATACATTCGACTCCCTTATTTCGACATCTCTGTGTCCCTGTTAATGCAGAGTACGGAGACTGGGCAATATTGATCACTACCTTGCAGGGCCTTTCGTTATCGCAGCTCAACTTGGCTGTGGCACACGCATCGCATGCTTCAGCAGCTCGTTCCTTTTGACGCTTAATTATCGGTCTTCCACGAGCAGAGTTCTTTTCATGAACGGCCTGATGCCGCTGCAAGACATCTCTAAACCAATTATCAGCTTTGACTGTGTGAGATGAGAGTAGCTTAGGACACTCACCGACGATTAAACCCTCTCTGGCATATGGGGCATACGAAAGCACGCTCATTGCGATGAGAATCTAGATGGCGAGCGAGATGGTCAGGGCGCTCGTAGGTTTTCTGGCACTGGAAACAATGGAGTAGCTGGGAAGTTGGAGTGCCTCGTGGGGACCGCCTGGGAGATTGTGCGTGCAAACTATCCATGCTCAATAGCGCAATGATTGTTGGCGGTGATATAACGAGCCATAAGTTGCGGAAGAACGAGGCGAGAGGTTGTGAAAGTGTACTTGTATTGGCGGACGGATCCAAGATATATGTAAAGGGTCTGCAGCTTCGGGATGTTCTTTTGGGATGTGGCCCATCTTCGCTCCCGAGGCTAACACACTTTCCCCCAGACTTTCGCTTGTCTCTCAAAACAGCAACGTTAACACACACTTCGGTTTATCAGTAAGTGCTGGTACTCGCACATCTGGGGATTAATGATTAGTTTTTTTTCTTCTTCTGTACTATCTACGGAAAGCTCCTTTGGATGGTACTTCAGTCAAACGGCGGCCTTTAAGGAGGACCCACGATTATCCACAACAAAGAGTATTTATGCTAACTATTCCTAGCAGATTACCAACTTCTTCTGCACAGCGGAATCGATGCTCTCGAGCAACTGATTTTGTCGCCATAGCTTAGCGCCTCGGTACATGCAGTTGAAGTCCATGAATTCGTCGGGTTTCCTATACGAAATACGCGTTACCAACAAGCTGAGCATCAACAAGTACACATGGTGACAAACTCACATAGTGACGGTTTTCTCGCCTTGTACGGTAGCTGGCTTAGCAGCTTGTCGACTATACCCTTGGATGAGACTGACTCTTGAATGACGGCATTGGAAAATTTCCTGCACAATACTTCAGCGACGCGATACTCATGGAAAGGGAATCTGAAAGCATACCTCCAAGATTTTCGCGATCTCTTCTGACGACGGCGGCTCACTCATACCCTCGAAAAAGGCCCCTAACGCTTCCGCATCTTCGATGGCTTGACTGGCTCCCTGCCCCTGTGTAGGCAGCATAGCATGAGCAGCGTCGCCGATAATGATTGCACGACCACGATGCCAAGTGGTAAGAGGATCCTGTTCACAGTCAGAGCGATGCAACATTTGATCGACGAAAAGCACCCACCAAGTCCCGCAGTTGCCACAACCCCAAGTCATAGTTCTACAGTGGTATATGATACTCCCCCGCCGCCCACTTTCCGATGAATCTCCACGCAACTGTTTCCCTTCAGACCAACAGTCACAAATCATGAAAACACAGGTGTATTATTGGTTCTTGTGAGCTGGGGCTCTTGAAAGAGACCTTGCCATCAAATGATCATGGCAATTGATTCATGTGGGGATACAAGTGCATATAAACGAGACAGGTCATCGTCCTGGTCACTGTCACCTTCATCGCAAAGTCAGCAACCACAATAGATTGTGAAATCCGTTGTGAGAAGGTCTCAAGACACAATAACACGATGGCCACAGTTACAACTACGGTCGTCTCTGAGCCTACTCAGGCTCAGTCCGCGAAGACCAACCCAAACCTGCACGGTCTGGGCCGCATGCGCCTTGACGGCACAGATCCCAAGTTTAACGACTATCGCGATGTACTAGCTCGTGACGGTTACTGTGTCGTCAAGGGAGCTATCCCCCGTGAAAGAGCTCTCAAATATGCCGATGAGATGTACTCTTGGCTGGAGGGATTGTAAGTTCAATCTGCCCCGTGTTGCCCATGAAGCCAGCCAGATCCACTAACCATTGCTGCCCAGCAACCTCGGATTCGACCGCAATGACCTCTCAAGTGTTCACAAGGACAAGCTGCCTGTTATCACCGAGAAAGGAATGTGCTTGCAGTACGCTGTCACCCATGAGGACTTTGCGTGGCAGATTCGGAGCGAGCCTGGTGTGATCGGACCGTTCGAGAAGGTCTATGACGACGAGGACCTCATTGTTTCCTTTGACGCTGTGAACTTTGGTTTCCCTAAGTAAGTAGTTGCGCAAGCCCCATGTTTGCTGCAAGGGGTGGAAATGAAACGTACTAGACCTGACAATGTGTGCAGCCGGACAGATCTCCCTCCCAACACACCCTGGCCCCACCAGGACCAGAACCCTGAAAAGCCCGGCTTCCGCTGCCTCCAGGGACTTGTGAACCTGCTACCCAACGGCCCCGACGACGGCGGTCTCATCGTCTGCCGCGGCGGTCACCTCCTTTCTGAGCAGTTCCACCGCGAGATGGCCGATGAGCCTCGCATCCCGGCCTGGACGCCCGAGTGGTACGGCTTCACAGACCGTGGAATGAAATGGCTCGAGGAGCACGGCTTGGAATGGGTCAAGGTATGCGCAGAGCCCGGCGATCTGCTCCTGTGGGACTCCCGCACACCGCACTACAACCTCAGCTCGAAGACCAAGCAGCCTCGCTTCTGCATCTACACCTGCTACATGCCTGTGGCGGACGCGACGCAGGAAGACCTGATCCGGAAGAAGGATGCGTTTGAGAGATGGGTTGGTACTACGCACTGGCCTAATGCGATGCACACCGGGTCGAATGTCGCCAAGCGCGACGGTCAAGATGACCCCCACAACCGGTTTGAACCTGTCAACAAGCCGGTCCTCAGCGAACGGGCGTTCAAGCTGACGGGTATCCCGTATATCAAGGCTTAAATTGTGACTGAGCAGAAGAATGTGTGATTCAAAGATTAGATACCTGGCATATTTTCAGTTCTTCTCAAGATCTCCATTAAGCGACGTTCCATGGAATATCACATTCGTACACTTGTTAACCTATTGATCCCTTGAGACATGTTGAATTTGGTTACAAATATGCAGTTTGAAAAGCTATGCCCAGGAGGTTGCTAATGCCCGGCAAATTATGGATCTACCTAGCCAAAGCACTGTTAATCCCGGTTGTACAATCATGTGGCAGATCGATAGATATAGCATCACTCGCAAGTTTCGCATTAAGATAGCTGGCACCTATCTTGATCGAATGATGACCGTTGGATTATCTCAGGAGAGAGGCATTGCCCGTGTGTAGCCGATTCGGATAATATATCCTGGCAAGTTGACATGGGACAGTTTGTCTCCGCATCAACACAGCTGTCTCTGTATATCGTCCTATTCTGGCGAGGCCATGGTCAAGTAGGTTTGCCAGCAAACACTAATGATAATGAACCGAATTTCCAATGTGTGAGCAACACTACAGGCCTCTACTAGGTGCGCTGAAATGCAGTTTCCTTCGTCCCTCAATCTACTCAGTTGCTCAAATATTCCTCGTAGTGATATCATCGGTTACATTAGTAGATAACGCACGTAACGTCCGATTGCACGTGGCTCAAGAGTAGGAATCTTCCCAATCGGCTATTCTCGAGTACCTGTTATCGCAACGGAGACTGCCTATCAACTCGAATAGTGCAACCGAGTTTCTTGGAATGATAGCAACACCGCAGGCAAGGATGGTCTCATTCTGGGAGTGGGGGGATAAGACCCCGCAAGCTTATTGCATCGTCTCGTGGGGAGTCGTGGGCCGTGGCTCAGACTTGTCCGAGGTTGCAAGGACTCAGTCACTCAGGGGATTATTATCCAATCTCTGCTGGATAAGAGCAAGCTCCACTGCCGAGACGGCCAGATGGCTTGGAAAAGGCTTCGCGTTAGCTCCGCCCGGGCCTCCTGAAGCCGGCAAACCTTATTATTGGCTGCTTAACTTGGCGTTATCAGTGCCAACTGTGGTGTGATATCTCCTCAGCCATCGCGGTTGCCAGCTGCCAACTTCGGATTCGTGTTGAACTCTGTATCAGTTGCCATTTGCGAACCATAATTAACCTTGATTGAACCATTCAACCTTGCTCGCTTGTTCTTGGTGGTACAGACGGCCCCGTTTATAAGCGGACCAGTCAGAAAGACCTGAACAGGCCATTTTTGTAAAGTCTCGACTTCAATGTAACCTTATCAAAACAGTAAGGTATGTTGTTGAAGGTTTGCCGGTCTATGACCTCCTTGGAGGTGGCACAGTATCGCCTTCCCTTTTTGACGTGTAGATAGAAAAGCCTAGGAGACACTCTGTTCCCCTTCCGCTCGGAACTCCATGCAATCACTCAGCTCCTCCCAGTCGATATCGAAAGACATGCGGCGCGGACCAAATAGCTGAACTGGATGTCGGAGAGTGATATGCTGTGTATGAGCGAAGAATGAAGAATTTCCCTGTGTGTCGACTCGGCGAAAACTAAGGGCTTGTGCGGGGAAAGAATTAGCCACCTTTGCATGCTTCCTGGTGTGTGCGACGAAGACGTACCAGCGTGAACGAGAGAGTTTTATTATCAGGGCGTCCGTCCAAGCCTAAGCTTGGTACTCTTGCCGGATGCCAAGGGTAATGGCGTTTGCCATGTCTGCCACTCCACCTATTCGCGGTCAGAGTCAATGCAGTGATTGGTTGCGGAGAAAATCATTTTGAGGGATGAACAAGGTATGATAACCCAGGTATCAATCAAAATTTATTTTTTCCTGTCCTCGAAATCTAATTGAGTTTCGTGGGTCGTCCAGGGTCGCGATGCATATCCAATAATCAACCTCTTGCGTGCTGGAAGCGGCGTACGGAAGACCACGAGGGCCAATAACCTACAGAAACCTGTGCCACCACTGCCATGAGTTTCAAAGATTAGTTTTAGACTAGCAGTCATCTAGATGGGCACTAGAAACTCATCCACATGAGCAGCAGGGGGTGGATAACAAGGCTAGTCGTTTCGTAGTCTCACAGACCTTGTGATAGCCCAGTTCCAATCCCAGCCTGCACAAGATCTCCGAGTCTAGAGAGTCGAGGACGGTCTGGCAACTCCCGCCCCATCGAGTGCTCTCCTATCAGGGGGAGAAACAAAAGGCAAAAAGTGTGGTTAGCTCAGTCAAGAGGCGAAGAACGGGCCATTAGTGCTGAGTTCAAGTGGTCTAAGTGGTTAGCTCAAGAGCGACATCCAGACAATGTGAAAGAAGATAGAGTACTTGACCAGCGATAGACGCCTGGACCGGTGCGATATCATTCCCACTCTTCTTCTCCTCCTCCTCCCCTCACTCCACCCTTGTCTCCGTCTCTTTCCACCCTGCTCTTATTTATGCTTCACTTTCCCCCTGTTTGGCTTCTTTTCTCTTACACACGCGAGCAATTCCCCCGTCTCTTTCCCTTCCATCTCGACTTCTTCCATTCTCATCTCTACGGCCTTTGAGGCTTGTATCAGTGTCTTGCAGCCATGAGTGATCCAGTCGACGCGGCAGACTTGGTGGTCGTGGCTCAGGCTCACGTCCCCAAGCAGTCTCTGGACGTCATCCCAGTCAAAGAAAAGGAGACTACGGTGGTTGCTACAGCTCCTAGACTTGATGATGAGGGCCGTGAAATCCCCACTGAAGAGGAAGAACAAACTCTTCGTCGCGTCGCTGGCAAGGTTCATTGGACCGCGTACACGATCGCCTTTGTCGAACTCTGCGAGCGTTTCTCCTACTATGGAACCACTGCTGTCTGTACGTATTGAGCCCCTCTCTGATGCTACCTAATGGGAGAAAGCTCACCTTATCCTAGTCGTCAACTTCATTCAGCAGCCTCTTCCCGATGGTTCGAGCACTGGAGCCGGTCACAGTGGACAGTCGGGTGCCCTAGGCATGGGTCAAAGAGCGTCTACTGGTCTGACAACTTGTGAGTCTCTTGTCTTTAAACGCTTACAATTCGTTTATGACTGACACTCTCCCTAGTCAATACATTCTGGTGTTACTTGATGCCTATTCTGGGTGCTTACATTGCCGACGAGTTCTGGGGACGGCTGAAGACGATTCAGGTTTCAATTGCATTCGCGATGGTCGGTCACATCATCCTGATTATATCCGCCTTGCCATCCGTTATCGCGCATCCACATAGCGCTTTGGGATGCTTCGCCGTCGGTCTGGTTATCTTTGGAGTTGGTGTCGGAGGTTTCAAGTACAGAGACCCATCTCCTTCTTCAAGCTGGGAGACAATGCACTAACACACATGCAACAGGTCAAACATTGCCCCTCTGATTGCTGAACAGCACAAGGAAACCAGGTCCTTCATCAAGGTGATCCCCAAGACAGGCGAGCGTGTCATTGTGGACCCTGCTCAAACTGTCACTCGAATCTTCTTGTACTTCTACTTCATGATCAACGTCGGCGCCTTGGTTGGCTCAATCGCCATGGTGTATGCTGAGAAATACGTGGGATTCTGGCTCGCATTTCTTCTTCCAACGATCTTGTTTGCAGCCTGCCCTCTTGTGATCTTTGCATGCCGCAACAAGTACGAGGTCACGCCCCCTACCGGCTCGGTTTCCGCGAAAGTATTCAAGCTTTGGGCTTTTGCTCTGAAAGGCCGCTGGTCCTGGAACCCTGTGAGATTGTCAGTGGCTCTCAATTCATGCTGGTCTCTTCTTCGTACTGACAGTCCCTTCGTAGCGTGCAGAATTGCCGGGCTCCTGACTTCTGGGAGAGAGTGAAGCCCAGCAAGGTTCAAAATAAGCCAGAATGGATGACCTTTGATGACCAGTGGGTCGATGAAGTACGCAGAGCTGTCAAAGCGTGCGCTGTCTTCCTCTGGTACCCTGTCTACTGTATGTATTTTCGATGGAATTACCAATGTCGAGAACAGAGGACTTACAGAGATTTTAGGGTTGGCCTACGGGCAGATGACCAACAATCTGACCTCGCAGGCAGCCACGATGGAGTTGCACGGTGTTCCTAACGACCTGATCAATAACCTGGACCCTCTCGCATTGATCATCTTCATTCCCATCATGGACCAATTCATCTACCCCGGCATCCGCAGGATGAAATTCAACTTCACTCCCCTCAAGAAGATCTATTTTGGCTATATCCTTGCCGCCATGTCCATGATTGCGGCTGCCGTCACGCAATACTACATCTACAAGATGAGCCCGTGTGGCGACCACCCCAGTGATTGTGACAAGCCAGCACCAATCAACGTGTGGGTTCAGACTCTGCCGTATGTCCTGATCGCTTTCTCGGAGATCTTCACCTCCATCACGGGTTATGAGTATGCATTCACAAAGGCTCCCAAGAACATGAAGAGTTTAGGTATGTCGTTGCTCGGGTCGCTGACCAGCTTCATCACTAATCTGTTGTTACAGTCCAATCGATTTTCCTCTTCATGAATGCGATCTCGTCTGCTATCCAGCAAGGACTTACTGCGTTGTCCACTGACCCGCTGCTGATCTGGAACTACGGATTCGTGGCCGTTCTGGCTTTCGTTGCTGGTAACCTCTTCTACCTGACCCACTATTCGCTGGACAAGGAGGAGGACCGGCTCAACAATCTCGAGGCCTCGGCCTACCTGGGCAACAATCCCGGTGCTCGAAATGAGAAGATTGACCCGGAGCAGTAGACGCCTATTTGCCCTATCGAGTTTGATTCTAAAGGAGGAATGCTGGTGTGGAGTTAGGGCTTTTTCTATTGTACTGCCAAGCTTGGTTTGTACATCCACGAGGTCATGCAGGACATGAAAAATAATAAAATGTAATGATCTTTCTCTTCTATGTCGAACACTTGATCGCATGGTACATTGTCACGGTGAGTTGAACACAATCCGTAGTCCAGAACATCAATCAAAAAGAAAAAGAAGGGCCACCAATGTCAGAAAAGACTGATAGAGATGAGAT